AAAAATAAAATCAAATTGAATGCTTTCTGAAACTTTTAGCCATATTTATGGAAAATATTCAAAAAAATTGCAATTGGTAGCAAAGGAAAATTTTCTGTTCTGCTTTTAACTGTGTGATTAGTCACTTTTAAAGGTTTTATTGTTGCATTTTAATTCTGTGAATATGGTTTGATGATTGAAAAGTTTAGACCCTAGTAATTCCCTACATAGTTTGTTTTCTAATCAAATGCAGTAGTATTGTTGAACAGGTTTATAAACTAAAATATTGAGAAAGAAAGGATTTTGTAGCATGAGGTAATGACAAATAAAATGCAAGAATGTGGCAGTATCAAAACAAACAAAAAAAATTATACCACTTACAGTATGGTAAAGAGCTATGAAGTTATATATGTGCCTTAACTTCAGAGAAGCAGATGTGCAGTACATACTGTGTGGCGTCCTTCACACTGATGGTTATAGGGCATACATTTTTAGTGGCATTTTCATTCTTTCATGTATTTATATCTATGCAAAGTCAAAATGAGATAGTCATATAGACTTTACCACTTTTGCATGCTAAACTAAAATTCACTTCTTTCTGTTCTTCTAATTATGTGAATAAGGTTAGGTTTCCACACCTACAGATTAAATCAATTGGGGTAAGGAGAGGAATAGTCAAAAGAGGGATGGAATATTACCAGTTGTCTTTTAACTGTATAATACTATTTGGTTCAGCAGTTGTTTCTGCGAAGTTTTATGATGTTATCAAGTAAGCATGCAAATGTGGCCTAAGAAAAACTCCCCCTCATTAAATATCAATGTTCTATTCTTGGGATGTCTTCTGCAAGAATGTGTTGAATTTAGTGCTTAATTATAAAGAAATACTAAGAATATTGAAAGTACTGCAGAAGTTTCTAACATAAGGAAATTGACACTTAAAAACATTGGTATAAATAGCTATGAAGTTTATAGAAGATACAGACTTTTCAACAGGCCTTGCATCATAGTGTTAAGAAAGTGGGGATTTTTTTGCGGATTTTATTGCATTTGATCAAGGGGATTTCTCAGTTCTTCCTAGAATGAGAAAGTAAATTGTGCGCTTTTCTCATGGAAATATTCATGAGTAAGAAAATGACACTGAAAAATGTCAAACTGCTATAGTGCCTTATTTAACCACAGAGGAATGCAGCAATGCATGGGCTACATGTTGACATGTTGACAGAATACTGCTTTATGGTCTTTCACTGGAGAGTATGCAAAAGAAATTGGCTTCCCTGAAATTAAGAACAAAACATCAAGCCTAAGGTGGAAAAGTAATTTGGGATTGTTGGGATAATGGGTTGTTTATTTTAGTTGCTTATTATGCTCCATGAATAGCAAGTTGGCAAAGAATATACACCAAAGAAGCTTGCGAATAAAGGGGATAAAGGGTTCATTGATAGCAACAATAAATGACTGTGTCAATACAGAGCAATGGCCCTTGTGCTGCAAAATCTTTGGCACTTGGCACTGGATTCTGTATTCCCTTGTGGCTTCTTTTCTTGTGGTTTCTTTAGAAAGCGTTATGGCAGGTGGCCAGCATTAGCTCCATCTGTCCCTGCAGATAGCCTCTCCCCTGTGCCAGCTTGCCCTGTGTTTTGCCAAATGAAATTCTTCTGCAGAAATTTGGAAAAAATGTGATCACTCGTAAGAGGAGAGTTGGGGTGGTTTTGTCTTTTTTTTTTTTTTTTTTTTTTTTTTTTTTTTTTCTTTGACTACCAGGAAAGTTAATCTGATTCAAAAATTATTTCAGTCAGAAATTAAGAATAACAAGTGTGTGTGTGTGTGTCTGTGTGTGTGTATGTATGTAAATAATTTCATCAAAGAGGCTTCTAAAAATAGAAGTGCCACGGACAATATTCCATGCAGTGGTATGGGCTGTGTGGTAGGAAAGGCTCTAGAAGCCACTTGAAATTGAAGATGACAGAAGCTGTGTCAACTGACTACACACATTTTTGTGTGTATTTAAAAGGCATGTCAACATGCATTGTAAATTGCTTTCTAACCATAGGTGATATGGGCGCGTGTTACGGTGGTGGTGTTTTATTAAGCTGGGGTTACCTGTTCTGGCAGAAAAACACAGAATTATTTTAATGTACAGTTGAGGGGATTAATTGCAATACTGAGATATGTGCCAACATCCCCATGCTCCTCATTGCTTCTCTGGGCTAATTTGTGAGTTTTTTATAGGTCCCCTTGTTTGTGCTGACCTGCTGTCATATATGTTAGGAAATTGGAAGATTTTCTGTACGTGATAGTTAACTACAGGCATTGATTTCATCACTGCTTTAAAATGGTAAATAAATGAAAGAGTAGAACAAGATGAAAATTGTGAACAAAATGCGTTTTGTTGCTGTTTTCTGAATTAAGACTAACAACTGTGAAGTTAGGATTTTTAATGAGAAAGCCTGTAAGGCAGGAATAAATTTCAAATATAGTAGTGATATATGCAATCTTGTATGATCACTGCTTTTAACTGCTTAATCATTCATACTGCCTAAATATAATCATACTGCCAGCTGCTGTGTTTACAGTCTATGATGTGGAAAAAGATGTCCCACTGTGACATGTTCTAGTTACAATCAAATTGACTGTAGCAAACACAGAAGCTGTTGAAGTTCAGTGCTTCTCAGTGGGGTGTTCTTGTTCTTCCAGCTTATTTCTGGCTTGATAGAGCCTGCCTCTGTGAAGCTCATTCTTACATAAAGTAACAAAACCAAGGCAGTTCCTGGTTCATCTTTACAGTAAAGAACCATGTCATGAAGTATTTAAGGAGACATGTATCTCACAAGTATTTTTCTGAATAAATAGTGTTTTACAGATTTGTATTTGTAATATGAAAGCCCTTTTTTTCACATGTACGAATTTTTAAATGTTTCCTTGCTTGTGTCATTTGATGTAGTAAGAATGCTGCAAATCATGCACATAGCTGCTGTTTCACAATAATAATGTTTCTGTTATATAACCACTTGAAAAAGTAGATTTATAACTTAGAAAAATAGCTTATAGGATGATTTGCTTATTAAATAAATCAATAAAATAAATATACTCATAAAACTATTTAAAAAACCCAAAACACAAAGTGACTCAGATACTGAGGAGTAAGTCAGTGAACTAGATAAAAGGCTCTCTTCATTTTAGAGTGCCATTTTATCAAGTACTCTGTCAATATTTTTCAGTTTCTGCTGTGTTTTATTCACATAATACAGCTCCTTAATGGTTGGTTTTGTTGAGTAGCTTGGGTTTTAATAAACCTGTATGTCAGTCCATGATCAAATGAGATAGCTCATCAAGCAGGGCACCATAATGCATCTAGTCATATCTGGTAGTGGAATCAAACTGCCCAAAGGTTTGAAACACTGAAGATGACTGTATGTGGTCTCCTTTCCAGTTTTCAACTGTCCTGAAATGCAGCTGACTGAAGGATTGCTTCTAATATCCTGCCAGCTCAGCCATCGCCCCTTTGCTTCTGCTGTCTTTGAAGCCATACGGTAATAACTAGCTTTGTGTCAGATCACCAGATATGTTGCTGTTACTATGTTAGCCAGAGCATCTGTTGTTTGAAGTCCCATTTACTGCATTCCAGCTGGCGCTCAGAAGTTCATTTAGGCATGTTTAATCTCCTCACTAGGTTTCAGCTGCTGTTCTTCTTTATTAACCCAGTGAATGATACCAAGCTTTTCCAGGATGATTGACATCAGTCAGGAAGAGTGTTGGTTATTGGAACTCCATTTGCTAATGAAGTCATCTTTGTAAGTAAACAGGGAGAAAGACTTTGGCTTTGTATTTGCTGAGAACAGTTTCTTGCGGGCTGTTACTAAGGTAGGAATAGGGGTCCTTTGCAAGTGCATAAAGTTTCTGCTTTTGGAGCTTATTTGACTCCTGTCAAAAGCTTGGGCTTTCTTCTGTTTTTCCAGCCATCAAACTGGCAAAAACAAACAACAGCCTTCTCACCTCCCCCAAAAAAATGATTTGTGCTTACCAACTTAAAATCTTGTCAGGTTTCCTTACCTGTAGAACTTGATCCTTGTTATGAAGGGCTGTGCCAAAACAAATGTACTTGTTCTTTTGTCCTTCAGGTAATAGCATCCATCGTTGCATTGCTTTGTTGCAATGTGCTGTTCTCTCCTCTTCAAGGCCCTAAATAAAAATTTATTTTATGATCTGTTTGACAGATCTAGGACAAGAAAGCTGAAAACCAATTCTAGCAGTACTGCAGTTCTAGTAATCACAGAGTCACAGAATCGTCTAGGTTGGAAAAAACCTTGAAGATCACCCAGTCCAACCATTAACCTGACAGTTCCCAATTGCACCAGATCCCTCAGCGCTATGTCGACCCAACTCAAACACCTCCAGGGATGGGCACTCCACCACTGCCCTGGGCAGCCCATTCCAACACCTAACATCTCGTTCTGTAAAGAAACGCATCCTAATATAATATGCAGTATGACTACATCATAGTTTTATCATCGTATATCCAGTACATAAGGCCCTATCCGAAGCTGAAAATAAGATAATGTATTACAATTCAATGAAATCCTCCTTCTTGGCAATTTGAAACGAAGTGAATGTTAAATAAACCTAACTTCTACAATAATGCAGAGTTTTCTTCCATGTTTTTGTTGGGTAAATGTGTTAAGCAGATTGGTCAAAACCATAAAACTTCAGGAAGAAGTACAATAGAATAACATGTTTCCTGATTTCTCTATGACTTTTCCTGAATGGATGATGACTTTTATTATTCTTTCATTAGCATGATGATACTGATGGTTGGTACTATATGTATCCGTATTTAATACTGGTGTTCTGTTACTTTCTTGTGATCAAGTTGTAATTATCTTTTTATTGTTTCCGGTCACATTGTAATATGCTTCTTTTAGTACTTCCTCTTTCAAAGCTCCATTAAAAAAAATCTTGCTGGCCAGTTGACTTGCTTCAACACTTACTAAAACAGGCAGCTCTCTTAGTTGTCTCTTTCCGCTGACTGCAAGTAGCCTGCATATTGACTTGCCTATATGCCTTACTGTAAAACTGAACTGAATTCTCCTTTGGAATCACAGAAAACAGGGAACAAAAGGTGCAGCTGAGTACTGTCAGAAACATAACTGCCAGTTAGAAATTCACACCTCTTGTGACTGAGGGATAACAGGCTACACTTTCCCTCTTTCACTGCCACCCAAAGAGATTACTCTATTTGAGTGCTTGCAGAAGAGCAGGGGCAGCACATTTATGGTATCATTGAGACTTCTGAGCAGCCGTCCTTCCCTGGATGATAGACTTGTACTGTCAGTCAATAAAGCTGATAAGGTTTTTATAGTAACTTAGAAGATCAGTTGTCTCTGCTCAAAAGAGATTTCTGCCCTGGCCTAAGGGAAATATATTAGTTCATGTGGACTCCATGTAAAGAGGGACATGGCTATCAAGATGTGCATGTTAGAAGCTGAGTAAGAGTAACTCCTGTAATATCACATAGCTTGCAAATGATGCGAAGGTGATTTGTTTGGTGTGGTGATTCACCTTCTTACATCTGGAAGGAGCATGATGTATTGAGGGCTCTCAGTGAAATTAAGACTTTGGGATGTACAGTAATAAATGATGTCTTATAAAGCTGGACAAGGTCTCTGCTCCATGTCTCTGCTCTTTTCATTTTTTGCCCAGACAAGATAAGATGTTAGTGATATCATTTGCCTCTTGACCAAAGACACAGTTGCTCTTCTGATTTAATTCAGTTTTGAATCTTTGTATCTCTCAAAGGAAGCCTGCTTATTGCAGGACTGGTCCTTTCTGTCACTAGGTGAATTTTGTAATCAAGTAAAGTGATGGTGCTCCTAAGAAATAAATCGATAAATATAACTAATTAATGTCACAGGAAACATCTTACCTTAGGAATTCATTTTAATTGTTGTTACACTGAACAGTTGTAACCTGAATATGTTATGTTCTAATATTTTCAAGCTATTAGAATGGGTCTCATATAGAGGCAGAAATCTCCAAATGGTATAATTCTGGATGATTTAATCAAGTTATCTAATGAGCTTGGCAATTCTTACTACATTCTTCATACCCACTGTTTCTAAGTTAGGTTAAACATGCCTCCTTGAGGTTCAAAATGCATAAGCATTGACACTGATTTGCTGACACAGTGAGAGATCAGCATCTATGTATGACTAATCCAGGGTATAAAATGGAGACTCCACCTTGGATATTTTTATCTTTTTTTTTTTTTTTCCTTGACATTTGTTTCACTAAGCCCTGCATGTGTGAAAGAGTGACAGGGAAGAGTCTGTGCTCCCTCATTTCCTTTCATGTCCATGGAGATTAGATTGTCTAGAGGAAATAAATCTGCATTTTTATTAGAGCTTGTTAATTTTTACATTTTGGTACACTTATGATAAAGAATCTTTTTCATTCAGTCACCTTAAGACCATATTATTTCCTTTGAAATCAGTTGGTATGAAGCAATTTTATAGAAGGGCTTTGGACTCTGTGTACTAACTGTGGAACACCCAACAATAAAACTGTTTCTTCCCTTTAAACTCAAAGCATCCTGCTGCAAACAAATTGAGGTTTAGGTCTCTGTAACACCTGTTGAACAATCAGTTACTTAGATAGCAAAATACTGTATTTGCATAAAATGGAGTGCTTCAGCTTATAAAAATCTATTTTGTTTCATCTATGCAAACAGTAGGAAATACTTTGTGTTTAGCATCTAATTTGTTAATACATTTAATAATACAGTCTTCCTGTGCAGCACAGTAGGAAATGTTCAGTGAGGATACAGTATTTCTGGGGTGCATTCTTTCCTGTTTTCCATGCTTTTTATCAAAACAATACAGAATTTGCTTACCCAATTCTTTACACCCTTGTTATTTATCAGATAAACATACAGAATTCCTGACTAATACAAGAAAAAAAATCTGTTCATGTCTATATTGTCTAAAGACTGCTTGTTCTTTTGTTGGACTGATACACTATAAAGCTGCATGTAAAAATACAAAAGCAACAGTCAGTGAGTAAATACAGGGGTAGGGCAAAATCCTGGGAGGGATTCTGCCACTTGATAGTGGTCATTTTTAATTAAAAAAGCAAATATTTCAGTCATCTTACTGTGTGGATTCTTATTTGGAGGTGTTTGAAAGATTTTTCAACAGTTATTTTGTTTAGGATAGTGGAATGGTTGTTACTGTTGGAGATTGTTCAGATTTAAATGATGCTTTTTTGTATTTGTGTGTGTGTGTGTGTGTGTCTTGATTTAGGACATTAGGCCAATTTGTGTACCTATATGCTAGCCATTATTCCTGCCAAGAAAAGAGTTAGCCTTCTAATTTTGTGTCCAGCGTTGAGTAGATGAGTATTTATGGCTTTATGATAACAGAGGGTTAAAGAAATCACAGAATCACAAAATGTCTGAGGTTGGAAGGGACCTCTGGAGGTCATCTGGTCTAACCCTCCTGCTCGGGCAGAGCTACCTGAAGCCAGTTGCCCAGGACCATGTCCACATGGCTTTTAAACACCTTCAGGGATGGAGACAGATACATGATGCTTTTGAAACAGAATTTATGACTTGGGTTTTGGCCATAATTTATCCTTACCGTGACATATGATTAGATTTAGCAGCTAGAACAACCTTAATTACTAATTATCCTAACTTCAAAATAGATGCCTTAGATATGTTCTGTAGGACAAAAAGAGTTGTTCCTGGTTTTCTGGGTTCATCTGGACTGGTAGTTTTTTAATCTTGACTGAGTTAATTCATGATTATGTTAATCTCTGCATTTGCCATTAGTGTACCTAAAAAAGAAAACAGATTTATGTGGTTACATTGATATTCTGTATTTATGGGGGGTTTTTTTTGAGTGTGTACAATTCTAATGAAATTTTATGATATGAAGTTTGGGTTGCTTTGACATTTCTTCCAAAGGTCCACTCTGTGTAATTCTGTGAAAATAGTGCTCATAATCCGTGGACAACCTAGCTGATTGGAAAGCACTTGTTTATTTTTTTCCCTTCAATTTCTTTTTATAAAGCTTTTACATAACACTGTATAATGTTTTTAGTGTATAAGAATAGTTAGAATTTAATTCTTCTGATAATGTTTATGATAGAAACTGTCATGAGTTTTAATCTGAAAACTAATCTTGCAGTATTAGAAACACTGGTCTACTTACATATAAAATTTACCACTAAACATTCATTTCTTACAGTAATTTGTTTTTCAAGAAACAGTTCTTTAGTTGTCAGCATAATACCTATATTAAAGTTTGAAATCTGGCATCAACATGTTTCAAAATTTTTGTGAGATCTCAGGTACTTTGATTTTGAAATGGTGACTAGGATTTTTGAATGAAGTTACTGTCCAGAAAAGATACTAGAAAGGAAACTTTGGAAACAGAAAAAATATTTCATGCAGAAATGCATGAAACCTTGCTTCAGTGAAGTTTTAGTGGAGTAATTTTGGTTTTTCTTGTTCTTTTTCCTTGATTTTTAGATTTATCCATGGCAGTGCAAAAATTTTCACAGTCTTTACAAGATTTCCAGTTTGAGTGTATTGGAGATGCTGAAACTGATGATGAAATTAATATTGGTAAGTACGTTCTCTGCCGTGGTTGCAGTAACTTTTATATTGTTTCTTATATATTTCATATGATATCACAAATATAGTGGGGCAGTTTACAGTTTGGGGTTCTTTTTTTCCTAGAGCATGTAAGAAAAATAGAAAAATTTTAATAAGTAAAAATAATGCAAACCTTAAAAAATACCTGTCAAAAAATATCTTCATGACATAGCTTGGCTCATAGTAGAGGAAATTATTCGGCAGTATTTTTGTCAATTGAGTCAGTTGTGGATCTTCTAAATTCTGCTGCTATTTTTAATTTGCAGCCAGTTTTTGCAAGTGCACAAGTTCCCTATGAAATAACATAGGTCTGCAAAAAACCCTTAAGTGACTAGTAAGACATAGGAAGTATTTAAGGGTCTAAACCAGGAATATGTTATTTACAATTTGTGCATTCCTAAGTATATAGATGTCTGAACTTCTGCCAGTAAAATTTAGTAGGTGCTTAATGTTCTACCTTTGCGCACACCCAGAATTTTTACGTTTGCAGAACTGAACAGCTCAGATTTTCTTGAACGTAAGCCTCTTTAATATCATCAAAATATTCTTCCCTCAGCAGACTAATCCTGAAAACATTTCCAGGATTCAGAAACCCAGCTACTCTTTACTGCAAGGCCTTGCTGTGGTTGCAGTGATGCTTTTGGGCAGTAGCATAGCAGCTGGAGTGATCTAGCTCCCTGTTGGTGAGAGAGATTTAGATTATAATCCATGTTTGGAATGGCTAAACTCAGTGTCATGAGCCTTACATACCACATGGCCCCCATGTCTCTCCCAAAACATCTGAGAGGAAGGAAGATGGTTGTTAAAAAGCAGTTGCTTCTAAAAATAAATTATTTGGCAGTACAAGAGGGAACGTAGGACTTGTTAGTATTTTTTTAAAAGGATCTATGTAATGCAGAGAGGAAAATCAGATTTAGGCTTTTCTAAGCGTATCTCATACTATAACCTATTTGCAGGTCTCCTCACTCTTCAGCATTTCTCTTTTACTAGTCATCGGATAAAAGGTCTGAGCTGCTTGCTTTCACTGGCAAGATTGGCCTCATTCTCACCCTACAACACTGTGATAGTTAGGAAGCTGTCATCAAATATGGCTAGTATTTGGTCGCTGTCTTCCACTAACCTTTGGCAGGGGCTGGGAGGGGAGGTTTGATTTTACTGGCGTATAAAAGCAGAGGAGTGAAAACACTGAGCTACTTAGTTATAAAACTGCATTCATTCTTCAGATACATCAAGCTTGGAAAGAGACAAAAAATGAATGGTGTATATGTGCTCTTTGGCATTCTACATATACTTTCTTGACTGTTAATGGTAATTGGTACATATTTTATGCATTTAAACTAAATCTGCAATATCTCAGTTGTATGTCTTAGATTTGGTCAGTAACTTTTTGTAAAGACAAGGTTTTGCGTTTAAAATGAGGTGACTGAAGACAAAGACAACTTTAATTTTGCTTGTAACCTAAACGTAGCAAAGACAAGACTTTGTTTGGACATTAAACAGGCATTTAAAACTATTTAGGAAAAAAAACAGAGTTCATGAAGCTTGACAGCTGATTTATTTCACTTGGAGCTTCAAAGAAGGGATTTCTAGCTTCTAAAGCACCCATTGCCTGATGGATTGTCATGTACATCAAAGCAGCTTATAAGAGTAAAAGGTAAACTGACAGGAATCAAATTCAAGTCTAACAGAGCCTGAATGATACTGTGTGCTTTTATAAAGTAAGGCTCAATTTTTGATCTCCCTAGAGCAGTGACCTAGAATTTATCCATATCTTCAACATGCTCCAACAAGCTAGATGTTTGCTTATCATCAAAGACAGCTTTGTATAGATGAATCCCGCTCTCTGTGCCTCCTTCTGCCTTCACCTCCCTTTTTTAAGAATATCTACAACTGTGCAGGCCACTAGGAAGTTTTATTTTAGTCTGCAGTGATACTCTGACTTGATAAATTTTGTACAAAACCACTGTATACTTAGGGGCTTGATACAGGGAGTACATTCTGAAGATTTTAAAATACATTTCTATTTCAAGCTTAGCATTGGAAATCCACCCTAATCCACTTTAGCATTGGAAATTCACTCTCTGAATAAGGCTTCTTCTGTCAGGATGTGATTATTTCTGTTAAAAAAAAAAAGGAGGAATTTTCAACTTTTTTCAAAATTTAAATAGTGATTTTTTCTTTATTATTACTAAGAAAAAAAATCAGTTATTTGGAACTGAGTGATTTTTTTGAGGCAATACTAGAATTGAAGGTCTCTGTTCAGTAACTAAGCACAACATAATTTTTTTCATTTTTTGCCATTTGATCACTAATAACAGCATTGTTTTATTTACATTTTCTGTAACCTGTGCCTTTTTAGATGCTCTCTTTAATACAGTTCATTTATCCGACAAGCCATTGCACAAAATACATGAGTAGTTTTAGTTAAGCTCCATGACCACTCAGTATAACAGAATTATGACGGTGCTTTTCATATTTATTTTAATCCATTCTTTAATCCAGTGATGTATTTGATTTTCTTGTTTTCTTTTAATTCTTTGATTTCTAATTTTTATAATTTCTCTCTTTTTACTTACAAATGTTTAATTCTTCCATAAAAGTAAGTATTCTTTGACAAAAACTTTACATGTCTTTTTGTGGCTGTATAATGCGTTGTAGATAATCTTTCCATGTTGCTGCAAGTTACTCAGATTTATCTACATAGCCACTTTCAGATATAATAGGCCCAGTTTAGAGTCAGACTCTTGTGCATGGGCTGTAAGCTATTCCCCTGAGTTTCTTGAATAAGCAGACTGGCTTGTTCCTTAAATCATCTACAACTTCATTTTAATTTTTTTTTTTTTTTTAAACTGTGAACATCAAAGGATTGATGCTATAAAAAAAGCTTTTTCAGTTTTTCAGATATTTGTCAACAAGTTAGGTTTGAGAAACAGTACTCCCCAGCTTTACCAGCTTTTCTCATTAAGAAAATAAATAGCTAGCAACAATTACCAGTGTTGTTTCTTCCTCTTTTTTTGAAATGCACGTGGCAGCATGTGATTTGCAGCAATGCAAGGGCCACAGTATTTGGTACAGCTACACTTATTGATCGTAGGTCATGGATATTAGCTGCAGTTGCATGTGATTCAGCCAAGCTGTAATTTTTTTGTGCAATTAAGAAGTTATGCAGAAAGTGACATCTTTAAAGCAGAAATAAAACAATGAATGACAGTGAATCATTAATACTAAAAAGGCATAGTAACGAAGGGTTGATGTAATTCAGCCTTACTCTAAGGAGAGTGTGTTGCTTCCCCAGTCTTACTAACAAATGTGTTTTCAACAGCCTGAAATAGCCAAAACTTGACAACACTTTGCCATTCACTCTTTTAGACATACCAACCTGTGCACAGTTACTCTCAGGCCCTTTTGCAATTAATATTTTGCACAGAGATGAAAAACTTTAAATTGATAGTGAATGAATGTAAAGGTCAGTCGTTTGTCATGCCCAGTGAAAATTTTGTGCAAAATGGATGCATGTTTTTTACATGTTTAAAACTTCACACCAAATCAAATGTTACACAGATAGGATAGGTGCAAAAGCTATGCTTTTAATGTACAAGTGTCTTTGCACGGTGTATACTGAGGAAAAGCATAAATTTTGCAGGGAGAAGGTTTGTCCAGCTCCTCCTTTCCTAGTATTATCTAGCTTATCAGCTAGATAATCACCTGATTCCTTCTCCAGGAATCTCCCTGGTTTATTCTCTTTTCTTTTGTTTGTGTTATTTGGATTGTGGCCGATACAGATGAAAATAATAAACATTGTTATTGAACTCACTGGAATTCTGTCTTGTTTCTTTCACAAGTTCTTGTCTGTTTTGTATTATGGCTAATTATAGATCGGTGAGATTTAATATCAGCAGTGTAAGACCATGCTCTTCAGAATTAAACGAAACCAAGACAAATACATTGTGATATTCTGGTGCTTTACTTTAGTATCTGGTTTTTATTAGTATGTGCTATTTAGGAAAAAGCACTGAAAGGCATGTATTTCACTCTGTCACTGCAGGTTTTGAATCTTTTTTTTTCCCCTGAAGAGAATTATATTATAACAGGTGTTTCAGGTAGCATCAGATGCTTGATTTAGGAATGTAAGAGGACTACAATGATCTATGAAATCATTATTAATTGAGCCACAAGGAATAAGTCACAAGTTCTAAAATGTGGTATCTTTCCTTGTGGGAACTCTTGCTGCTAGCAGTTGTGGCTCATGTGATCTTTGCTGACTCACACCTCAGGTTGTTCATGGGATTGTTAAAATTGCTAACAATTAACCATCTACAGGACTGTTAACTCATACTAGGCAATTATGTTGTATACAGCAGCTAGTTTCAAGTTAAACTTTGAAAATCAACTGAGGAGAAAACTTTAAAAAAACAACCTAAAAACCCTCCCAAAACCCACCCCAAAACTTTAATGGTTGATTGAGTCCAATGCTGTATTCTTAAGACTCTCTGAGTTGAGCAGCAATGACAAAAGCTGTCTTCTTTGCTAGCACTGGGCACCCACATGTGCAATGCTTTTCAGTCAGCAGCTGCTCTGCCCTCTTGGAGAGCCTGTCAAAGGACAAGCATCCTGCCATTTAAAACAACAGATAGATCTGTCTTGGGAAATTTGTGTACAGAACCACGCAAATAAGAGAAAAATGAGAAGGTTACCTTCCCCCCATCTCTTATAATGATTTAAAAGTTTTATTGGTGTTAAGAGGTGCCAAATTCCTTTTTATTTTATTTTTTTTAATGGTATAAACTGTGCATGCAATGCTCTATTAAAATGAAAACAACAAAAAAGAGAATTTATAGGATCTTTATGCCTGCCTAAAGTGTGTGGAGGCAAATCAATCTGTGGACATTACAGTCTCCAAGTTAGGAGACTCTTTTTGGAGTTTTGGAACTACTTGAACGCTAAACAGGAATCTCGGAGGATAACTGTCA